ACTTAAGGTAATGAGAAGGTTCTCTCTTCAGGTATCCAGGGAGCCTGGGATGCTGGCAACTGAGCAGCCATTCCCATTCCTCCTTCCTTCTTGGAGAAGAAAATGAGATACACATTTGGAGACAAGAGTGTGGATGAAGAATATCTTAGTACCTTTCCTCGCATCTGGGACAAAACCCCACATTCACAGCTAAAAGGAGGAGAGGTTTACTTTGGCTCACAGTTGTAGAGGTTTCAGTCCATGGTCCACTGCCTCCCGGGCAGGATGGAGTGGTGTGACTGACAGGAAGCAAAGAGTGGAGGGAGGAGCTGCGGAAGATGAACTCTTTCAGGCCACGCCCACAGGAGCCCCTTTCCAGGGGCTTCTAATAGGAAGTCAGTTGTAAGCTTTCATAATGCAATTCTCTTCCAAAAGTCTCACCTATGACCACATGAAGCTTTGGAGAAATGTATATGTAGCTATAAACCATAGCAAGGAGGGACTTTATTCCAGTCTAAAAATCTACAAGGGCTGCAGGAAGGGGAGGTGTTGGAGCAGAGGGGGGCAATGGGAGAAAAGGTAGAAGGAGACGATTCTAGAGCAGCAGGGTGTTCACCCCCTTCAGTGGAAGATATAGCAACCGACACTGTGTGTGGTACCTGTGTACATGAAGAATTCTCAGGTCCATGGCGTCTGTCTGTTCTGAGGAATCCTACAGATGGTGGCACTAGGTTGGGCTGTCACCCTGGACACCCAGTCATGGGTGGCCTGGGTGTGGGGGAGTATCTGCAACAGGAAGGGCCTTGGTACTGGACGCCCTGTCGAAGGCTCACACAGGCAGAGGCCAGAGGTGGCTCCAACTCCCCAGAGTGCTCTGGCTGCCCTGCATCGCAGCTCAGCCTCTTCTGAGTGCCACCTCCAGCCATTCCATTTGATGGCAATCGATAGCGCTCAAAGGAATTCAGTTCACTGATTTAAACTAGATAAGCAGGTGCTAACCCATAGCACTGACAGCAGGGACACTGTTCTCATGGTGTCCTAATGTGTGGGAATTAGAGGAGAAATGGGGGGACATGGCGTACAGGTTGCCAGAGGGAAACTACTCTTGTGGGTCGCAGAGTCCCTGCTGAGAATCTGCTCCTCACTAGGCTGGGGTTGAAGCGAGTAACTCCAGCCGCCAGCTCTATCCTCTCACCGTGGTGGGAGGGGACAGAGCAGTTCATTCTCAAAAACCTCACTCAGGATCCCGGAGATTCTTGAGACAGTTCTTTACTCCAGGTTCCAGAGAAGAGTCACAGGAATGCGCACGAATGGAGGTTCTTTCTCTCAGCTTGTCTTCCCTCACCCAGGACTTCTTCTACAGACATGGGTTCTCACTCTAGCTTCCTGGGCAGCTCCACATCTCTAGCCGTTCTTGCAGTCACTGGGTCCCCAAACCCTCTGCCTCCACCCACTCTTCTTCCCTCGGAGTGGTCTGGTCCGTAAGATCTCATCTGTTCTCCGTGGCGCCCTGTGTCACTAGGCATTTGTTGCACTCCACTCAGATGCAGTGGAAGGGAAGTCTGGACTTGACTGTTCAAGCGTACTTTCCAGCCCTTTGGCAGGTGCTGGCGCTATCCACATCCTCCTCCTCCTCGAGGATCAGAGCATCATTACTCTGCTAATGAAGCCCCTTCCCCTCCCCAGTGATGAGACCTTTGTGCGTTGGCTGGTTGCCCACCAAGTCCCTTCCTCCTCCTCTAAGTTTAAGGCAGCAGGGCTGTACTTGGTCATGGCCCCCAGGTGCGAACTAGATTTCCTGAGAGGGGTCCTATTGCTGACTTCTCTCCATGGGAAGGAGGAGGTGTTTGCCCTTTCCTGCCTGTAAAATACTGTGCCTGTGTGTCACCGAACTAGAGCCAGGCTGGTGGCCACCCAGCTTTGACACATAGGGTGGAGTGGGCGATGATTTACAAGGTCCTACACTTCAGAACAGTGCAAAGAACAGAGTTTTTCCACTGAAACGGGTCATCCACACCCAGACAACAGCATAGAGAGAAAAGACTTGCTTGTTCTTTAAACCACAACAGTGTAGGGACTTTTACCTTAACACAAGTCTCATTTCCAAAATGTCCCTATTTTCTACCCCATGAGCAGGCAACCGACATTGATGAAAAGATACATTTTGCATTTCTGTCTATCACTTAAATGTCAATCAAGCACAAAATATCTCTCCTGTGACTTTCTTTCCCTCAGACACTCCTCACTCTTCCTTACCTGCCTGAAGTTAGAGGTATGAGTGGGAGAACTTGCCTTGGCCACCTTCTAGGCTAAATCTGCAGCCTCTGGGTCCATCTGTCCCAGGACTGCCCAGCACCCCAACATCCTCATAGCTGCAGTGCGCAGAAAGTTTCTTCTCCTTGGCTTTACTTTATTAAAGCAATTCCCTATTTGCCGAGGCACTGCCACCCGAAGGACAAAGACTAACAGCATAAATAAAATAAGTCCCACTGTGTTCTCCTTCAGGGTTTCTATTGGTTGTGACTTAATCTCTTGAGGCAAATTGATGGGTTTAATATTAAACAGAAATACCAAGAGTTAGCAAAAAGATCAGAGAACCGAACAAAACAATAAAATGGTCCAGAAGTGGCATTTTTCCAGTTCTCCAGAGGGGTTGGTTCTGGCCATACGCATTTATTTTCCTTCTTTTATTTATTTATTTATTTATTTTTGGCTTTTTTCTGGTGCCGTATTTTCCTTCTTATTATAAAGATAAATACCTTTGTACAGACAAGGGAGCCAAGGTTGTTTAAAATGTTGGGGGGAAAGAGAATGGGAAATGCCAGCTTAGCTGCCCTCTGATTTTGCTGCCCTCAGATCTCTTCTAGGCCCACGTCAGACATGGCATGGGCATTACTTGCCTCACTGTCACCAAATGTATCCCATGAGCCCCGGGCTGGGGTGACAGGGATACCCCGTGTCTGTGACTCTGTATCTAAGTCAACTCTGTGACCTCCTCTCACATCACTGCTGCACACAATCCAAGGACAATCCCACGGCCCTGACTGCGTGGATCATGAGAGCTAAGGACTTTGGAGTTAGCTGGACCTGCATTTGAGTTCTGCCTCTACCATATAGTGGAAGACCTTGGGCAAGTGTTTAATTTATGTCTCTCTTCTCTTCCCAAGGGGATAATCTGTCTATAGTAGAGACTGACTAGCAGCTCACCACATCCACCTGTCTTCTTCTAGACCACACAGTGGGTTACAGTCCTAGTGTCCTCTGTGTTCCCAGACTCCTCTGTTTTTGGGTGTGGTCACATGACTGGTTCTGATCCTGTGAAATGCTTGGACCCATGGTGATCCTCTCTGCTGGCTTCCTCTCATCTTTCCCCATCCACTCACTAAACAGAAACAGAATTTGGGCCCTTGAGCCCATCCTGGGCAGAATTTACAGGCAAAAGAAGCCTGAACTATGTATAGCCAGAAACTTGCAGTGGATTCTGTGAGAGCTGGAGATAAAGTTCTACAAGGTTAAGTTTCTGAGATCCTGGGATTTGTCTGTTAGTGTTAGTCTAACGTACTAGTTTGCAGGACTGTGATATTTAATATAACAAACTTGGTGATGCCTAAAAGAGTTTGTACTTAGGAAACAGAACTTTCTCAGGCCCCAGAGATGGAAATTCACAGCAAAATGTGATGCTGGTATGTGTTGTAAATGTGTGTACAGCACAATTCCTGAGAGTTTGCTTTCATTTGCTTGTTTAATCATAATAGCACTCCTGTGGTAGAGTCGTTATTTGCCCCATATTTTAGATGTATAAACAGACTCAGAGAAGTTATATGAATTTTCCGTATCACACAGGTAATAGTTGATGATGGAGCTGAGGCCCTAAGCCAGCTCTCTTAGCCCCTGGGTTTTGGGGTTTTGTTTTTGTTTTCTGCGTTAAGTATTGAACCCAGGGCCTTCTCACTGAGCTACAACCACAATGCTTTTTTAAAAAATTGTTTTGAGACAGGGTCTCATTAAATTGCTAAGTTGCCCAGGGCTCTGCTCAAACTTGCATTTCTCTTGCCTTCACCTTGCAAGGTGCTGGGATTGCAGGCATGCACCACGCCACTGTATCTAAAAAACAATCACAAAGGAGAAATCTATAGCATTTTCAAAAGCTAATCACTAATTTAATGCTAGTGAGGGAGAGATTTCAGAGCCCACTCCACAGTATCCTTCACAGTATGGTCTTGGAGAGTCCTCACGGGGTAGAATCCTTTGCTTGTGCTGTCATAATGATAATGAAGGTAACTAACAAGCACTGACAACTCATCAGCCACTGTCTAAACTCCTTATATGAATTAACCCATTAAATACTCTAAATAGCCTTGACAGGCTAGTTACTGTTAATGCACTCACATTAATGGTTGGGAAACTGAGGCATGCAGATGAAAATGACCTACCCAGGTACTCCAGTTTGGATCTGGAATGTCCCTCATAGGTCAGGTGCTGAAGGCTTTGCCTCACCCTGTGGCACTATTGGGAAGTGATGGGCCTTTATGAGGCAAGGCCTTATGGGAGGAAGTGAAGTCACTAGGGGCAGGGCTAGTGGGAAGAAGTGAGGTCATTGTGGGTGTGGCCTCAAGAGAGATGTTGGGTCCTTATCCTTTCCTCTCTTTGTTTCCCAGTCACATGTGCTCCTGCCACAGTGCCCTGTAAGGTCACAGGCCTAATGGCTCAGGGCCAGGGGACATGAACTGAAATCTCTGAGACCATGAGCCAGAGCCAAGATTAGCTTTTCCTTCTTTTAAATTGTTTATATCAGGTTTTTGTCACAGCAGTGGAAATTTGACTAACACAGCAAAGTTATCCAGCTAAATAGTATGATCTGCTGGATCCAACCCTTGATTCTCAATAATGACATGATAGTCAGGGCATGCTACTCTGTACCTCCAATGGTAAATCTTTTAGAATTCCTATTATTTAAAAAATTCATACTGAATTATTCAAGACTTTCTAATAAGAAATGAAACTGTTGTGTCAGTGTTACTTTATTTTCATACAACTAAATATTCTAAAGGCTATAGAGCAAGAGAAATAGCTTTCAATATTTTTCACAGGAAGAAACTTGACATTTGCTCAAAATAATCATCACATGACCTCCTTGGATCCAGTTCTCCTTTATTATTGGATCCTGAAAAAGAAAAGATGTACAGCTATAGCCAAATCATTCTCAGAATCACAATGAGGTACTAGAAATGTATTTTATAGTTACACATCCACCCGACATGTCCTAAATACCTGGTTTGTCTTTCCCATCATCTGTACTTGTAAGATTTGGTTTCACTTTGTCTAATTAGGCATTGGGTTCCTGAAAGTGTTATGGCCCAGGAAATGCCCTCTCCCTGTCTTTGCCAGGTGCTTCTGTCCCACAGCATGGAACAGCTTACCTGGGATGCTGGGGCCACCAATGCTGGCAGGGGGTCAGACATGCTGGGACCCATCCTCAGAAAAATGGCCACATGTTCTTGGCCATATCCTTCTGTACAATAGAGGAAGACAGAGCTGCCCAGTGAGTGGACTTCTTCTTCCACAGCCCTGAAGGCCAAGGAATCTGCTAGATTGAGGGTCTCAGAGCACCACCAAAGAGACGGAACAGTCTTGCCTGGCTGTCCTCAGAAATGTTCCACAGCAGGAAGCCTGGTGTTCTCCAGGGGCTCCTTAAAGCACCACCTCTGACAGAGACCACATGAGGCAGGGTGGAGCAGGCTTCAGAGTTAAGCAGTTAGCTTTTCTATATTAACTTATGAGTCTGTCCTAGGCCTAAGTGATTTGCCTGAAGAACCGGTGGCTGGCATGAAGAAATAAAACTCTTCACACCAATGGTCACAGTAGAGACCTGTAGTGGTCTGTGAAGGCAAGATAACATGGCAGCTGCAGGCACTGATTATCCTTCAAATTTTCAAGGGCAATACTGCCAACCTTAGAGATCAAACAGTTCTCTCACTAAGCAAAGATTTACTGTTTGGAATGCCTTTGTTCTACTTTCACAAGGCCTTGCTCCTTTTTGTACCCAATTTGCCTCAGTTATTCTCTGTACTTTCCTGCACTCCCCTGGTATGTTATGGACCCAATAAACACTGGCAATCCAGAGAAGTCTTTATTTAGCCACAGATCTCTGACATTCCTGCACCCCCACAAGCCATATTGCATTGTCTCTTTTTTTTTTATCCTTTGCTGTATGCTCATCTATAAGATTAGGAGACTGAGCTCAATATACCCCAACACATCAGGGTGGTGGGTTCCTCATCAGAGAGGCCAGGTGAGGAGTCACAGGGACCCAGAGGGGATGCATGTGGCCTTCATCCTCATCTCAACTCCCTCTTCCAGAACTAGACACGGGAGCAAGGACTGTACTGCTGACTGGATCAGCCTGCTGCTGCCAGACTGGGTTTGGGGGTCTCTGTTATGAGCAGCATGGGGAAGGTTCCTTCTGTGAACAGTCAGCCTTGGCTGCCTCCCACTCCCCTGAGTCAGACACATAAAGCTTGCTCAGAAAAACAATGCTGCAACAGAGCTGACCTTGGACACTCCACTGGGCCTTGACTTCAGTGTTTCTTCCATTCCTTGGCTGCAAGAAAATGAGGTGACTTTCAGATGCTGAGACAGAGTTGCCTGGTTCTTGTATCTTGGTTTAGATCTTCTCTCTGCTGAGCCCCCTAAGGCTGGCTCTTCTAACTGGGACCTCACATCCTGTCCTTATGCACTCACCTGGTAAGCTTCATAGGTCCTCTGGTCAGGGCTCCGGGACCTTGACACTGATTCCCACCTCACCTTCCTCCTTAACCTTTGCTTATGTGGTAAAAGAACCCACAAACACTCATTATGGAACTTCTCAGCCTGGAGACATCACAGACACTTACTGCTCTCAAAGTACCTTCCAGGGAACAATGCACTAATAGGTCATGCAAACCAAAACAGGTATGCATATGGTGGCAATATGGAGGGGCAGGAACTGTTCCTATGATCAAGTAAGTTAGAGAAACAAAAGATTAAGCCAAGGGGAGCAAGGGCTTCCTGTGGGACTGCTCAGAGCCCTCGATGGCCTTGAGGATACACTGTGAATCTTCATGAGTGTTGAGGGCAGCATCTTCCAATCTTAGCATCAGTGATCCCCAGCACGTAGTTTGGGGGGTGTTGGATCCAGTCTGATTTACTTATTTTCCTGATGCAAACACTGCAGGTCTAAGGGTGACATGAAGTTAGTAAGTGTTGGTTAAAACTTAAGAGTGTATGACCTTTACAGGGAACTCTGTGTCACCTGAATAGGAGGAAAGGATGGCACCTGGACTCTCCCTGCCTGTGTGTTCTGGATCCTAGTATTCAGGAACATGTGCTCTGGTTTGCCCTGTGTCTGTCCCTCAGCTGAACCTCCCTCTGTTTCCTGTGCTTCTAGAGCTCTGACCCTCCTGGCCTCAGTCCAGTTGGATCCTTCCCTTAACAGGTTTGTAAGAGAGTTTGACCAAGTCATGCCCTAAATACAGGCAGAGAGAGCCCCAGTTCACCTTTGGGTCCTGCAGTAACTCCTTAAGTAGACTGAATGCTGCCAGTTTGACTTTAAAAACAGAAATGAGAAAACCTGGTATACCCTGAAAAGGAAGAATGGCTGTCCGAAGGTGGCAGTGGCATCCTGCAACACAAAAATATAAACTGTTATGCAGCCACATTGCAACAAAGGTCCTCCAAAAAATGCATATGGGGACAGATTTCAGGGAAGGTGTTCCAGATCTGCAGACTCAGCAACAAATGGGAATTTGCTAGAAATGCCGATCTCACCCCCAATTCAGACCCAGCGTATCTCAGGAGTGGGGCCTGGGCATCTGAATCTTTACCCGGTGAGTCTAATGCATCATGGTCAGGTTTGAGAGTCTCTGGAGTATGGTGTAGATACCACTACCAGCTCCCCTCTAAGTTTGTACAATGTTACTTTGCACCCTGAACCACAAAGAGCAAATCCTCAGAAGCAGACAGCTCCAGGGGACTCATTTGTGAAACTGGAGATGTAATTTTAACAGCCACAGGCAATGATTGCCCCAATATCTCCTTCAATTTCGTTCTGTCCCAAGACAAGCCCAGGAAGACCTCAACTTCAGTGACCCCAACTCAGAGAAGGTGTTTGGGTTGTGTTGTAAAGGCCACCCTTCCAGGAGAGCCTAGAGGGGCTGCAGGCAGGTGGGCTCCAAGTCCTTCTTCCCCCTTCCCTGTGGACCACTCTTCAGGCAGTGACTTCCCCAGCACTCACACACCTTCTTGGTCAAGTCCACAGCAGCAAGTCTTGAATCCTGGAAGACAAGGATGGTGCAGGTGAGTTCACATTCAAGACCTTGCAGCTGTCTGTGTGCTGTGCTTTCCTTCTAGCTTGTGTTCTATAGTGGCTGGAGGACAAAGCAAGAAAACAGTGGGTGGGAAGGGCTACCCAGGGGGCCAAGGGAACATTCCTGCTCAAGATTCTTGGATCAGTTTGAGACACAGGGTTTGTCCAGGAATGTTTTATTTGCTCATGCCTCTTAACAGCCTCATCTTTGAAATGCACCCCTGGTGTAGGCAGCTTCCAAGGAGAATCCATTTCGGCATCTGCAGCCTGCTCTTTGTCCGTTAGGCTGATGTAAGAATGGAGTTAGTGAGACCTGGAAACTTGTGTGAAGTCAGTGGGGAACAGACCAGCTGTTGCTGTGTGTTGCTGTGCTTAGGATGAACAACCAGTTTTCCAGGGGTGGAGCAGTTTCCAGGAGGATCTTGAGGCTTTCTGAGTTAAATCCAGGCAAGCCCTGGGCAAACCAAAGTGAATTTGTCATCCTACCTGGGCCCAGGGGGGTCCAAAACTTTCAACCATACAGCAAAATCTTCATAAATAATTTGAATGAGTTCAGCTCTTGCTGAAATTGACCATTTCTAAGCTTTAAAAAAAGCTTTAAAAGGGGGGAACCCTGAGATATGCAAAAAGAACAAATGGGTTATGTGAAGCAAAGGATATCACCAAGGGAAATGTCATGCTACAAGGGCAAAATCATACACAACATACACACACACACAAGCATGAGTACGTGTGGACACACATTCACAAAACTCCTGGATGAGAAGAGCAAAAGAGGAGAGGATGGAACCAGATTGGGCTATGGAGTCTCCCTCTCTCCTGGGGTTCCAGGGAGAGAGATCAAGGTCAAAGGACCAGCAGTCCTGGCCACAGCGTCCTCCCAACGTGGACCCTGAGACAGGAAGGGAGAATGCAAAGGAGCCACAAAGCAGAGGTGTGCGTTGCCACAGTATTAGCTGAACTTCGCAGCATAAAGGTACGGTGGAAGGGAAAGCACATACTCGCTGCAGAAATCTCTTCATCCTCCTGCTGGCGAGCTTGGCAGCCAGGCGCATTAACGGATGCACAGGAGGAAACTGCAAGAAAGAGGTGCAAAGCGGGTCAGACAGGAGGCTGCAACTCTCTGAGCCAGAGGAGGCTTCCCAGAGCAGCCTTCGCAGAGCTGGGGCTACACACATTCCCTTTGACTCCCTTCCCTTACAAATGGATTTAATTTCCTGAGTAAAATCCATTTTGGAGTCTGAGCCTGAAATTTTATGTTTTCAATAAAGAACGCTTGCCTTGATAGCAGGTTTCAGTTTCAACAAGTCACAAGTATTCCCTTAGAGTGACTCAGACTTTGTCTACTTTAACCCAAGCACTCTGTTTTCCTAGCGTTGTCTTAAAGGGGCAGCTACAGGAAGGTTCCTTCTGAGGGGTGATCTTCTATTCCAGAGATGAGTGCGTCTACCCACACACACTCAGGCAAAGGCACCTGACTTGCTTAGTCCTCATTAACACTACCTGCATGCTTGTAGCGTAAAAGCTAATTTGTGTCACAGACAGAACTTACCTTTTTCTTTCCATTGTTTTTTTTCTCACTTTTTTGTAGAATGACCTCTGCTGATAGCATCCCTTCCTTACCTATCTTCCTTCCTAGCCCTATCGTACTGATCAGCCTTTGCCTTTTAGGAAAAAAATAATACTTTGCTGAGTATTTCACTTTAAAAGATACTCTTGAAGACTTGGAAAACCTTAAATATGCAAGTAGGTGAGTTTCTAATAGTATAATTTCAGTGGTAGGGAGAGGACACCTGAACTGAGTTGCATTTTATGACCTTCCCTATATCCTTCAAATCATAGGCCACAGAAATTCACCTACTCAGGCTGCTCCAAAGTGAACTCAAACTTATAATAAAAAAGTTAGAGATAATGTATTTACACACCTTGATAGCTGCAGAAGATGTGTACCTGTGGGACGCTATTGAAGGGATAGTATTTTACATGTCACAAAAACCTTTTCAAAATTTAAATAACATCTTAAGGAATAAGAGAAATAGAGTACAGTATTTACCAGGCTTTTCTTGTACATCTGTATAAGTACACAATAGAAAGTTTTCTTTTTATTTTATTTTCTAACTTTTCGGATCTGCCCACTCTCCACCACCTCCATCCCAGAAAGGAAAGAGACCTGGGGAACTGCTTCTGGGGCAGAGGGTATCTGGAGGCTTCCTGCTTCTCTGTACATACATTGTCAATATAGAAGGAGTAAAAGGGTTGCAGAGGTCACTTTTATAGAAAGATGATTAGAAGAAACACTGACCCTGGTTTTAACTGGGTGTGTTGGCTCCTGAGTTCTGGAATAGTGAAATAAAAACTAAAGAAAAAGAAAAAAAGTGGTATTAGTACCAAATATCACTTGCTCTAAATGTGAAAGCTCTTGCTCGTGTACCTGGGCTGACTGGTACTCACCCTTTTGTATATGTTGTGATTATCCTGAAAAGAGAAGGATGAAGGTAAGTCATGAAAATTTGACTGAGGCAGACAGTGGTTGAGATTGCTGTGTATTGTACACCTTACTAGACTTATTCAACTATTATGAAGTCAATTGGCAACCTCAGAAGCTGTTCCTCCATTACATAAACTTAATAAGGTTACAGCTGATACAGAATCTTACAATGAAATAGTTACCATAATCATTTTAAAATTAGATTTCTTTTCATGTTTTCCATCTTTGGGAGAAAATACTCCTTTCTAATGCATAGAAGCAATACCCTGACCAAGTCCCTGACAACCATTTGACTAAGCGTTGGAGTAAAATAACTATGGCAATACTTCATCTGCTGCTGGGTGTATCCTAGTAGCAGTTTTTTAGGGTTGATTCAGATTAACCAAACTTTTTTTTTTTTCTTTCGAAAGCTTCCTACATGAATCCACTGTTCTTCCAGAAAGCACAGCTTTTTATTTTTGAATCCTCGTTAGCGCTCCAGCCCACCCTTGTCTACAGGGCTGGCAGCTGGACACAAAGCACATCTGATCAAGGAGATGCTGGGAAAGACGGCACCTTACTAAACAAAAAAGGGTAAGTTTTCACATCCATATTTATTAAATTGCTAGAGATGATTACTGTGAACTGTCTTAAATACGGGAGTGGATTGTTCCATTCACATTTAAACATTCTTGAATCAGCTTAAACCTCAATCAAAACAGAAATTAAACCTGCTAGTAACATTTCTGATTTTACTGCAGTGAATACAATCATGTCCTCCCGCAAACTCTGTGGAGACTTTCTTGGGTGGAAGCAGGTGATGCCAATGCATCCTTTCTCTCCCTCCCCTGCCACAGACGAATGTGTGCCCATGTGCACATGGATGTAGGCACACAAAATAAACCTTTTTTTTGTTTTTGTTTTTTTCCAGTACCGGGAACTGAATTCACGACCTTGCGCTTGCCAGGCAGGCACTGTGCTGCTGAGCTAAATCCCCAGCCCCTAAAACATACCTTAATCATTCAACATTACTAAGAGCAGAGGCCCTGTGGGAATTAACTCTCCATTTCCTTATAGTCACCATCTCTAAACCCACAGGAAACACAGTTTTTGGTCTTCTTGTCAACCTCCATCCACAGCAGTGAGGGGCAGAGGCCCTCATTAAGCAAATGAATTTTTTTTTTTACCACATCTATAAGCTTTATACTGCTACTTTTACTTTTCAGGTCAAAAAGTTATGTAGGAAGATGTTTTTTCCTGGTGCTAATCAGCCCTCTCCATACTTCATATGCACATTTCTTGCTTTATTTTTGTCTTTTCATGAAAAAATATACACAATTTTACTCATATATCTTATTTCTTACACATTTGCTCTACTAAAACACACATTCCATGAGAGCTGGTGGTTTTGCTTGTTTGGGCCACTTCTGTATTCCTGACACCTGACATGTGGCAAGCTCGAAAGAAATATCTTTTTTAAAAAATATATTTTAGTGAATGAATGAATGAATGTATAGTAGAGCTCTGTTCACAAGGATCCATTGGCCTTTCCCATCTGAACTTCTTCAGATCCCGTGAAGTAAGCAAAAACCTGAAATATGAAGAGTTTCTGCAGATGACATGTATCTGCAGACAATGTAACTGTTTTATGAATGACCTTAGAATAAAAGTCCCCTGGAGTCACAGACCTGGCCTCTTCTGGAGACCAGAAGAGAATGGATGTAGTGCTCAGTGAACCCTGTGATCTTTGGGCGGCTGAGAGAACCAAAGGCCCCGGAGAGGAAGTGAAAGGCTGAAGGTCACATTTGGGAGCAGCCATAAGGCTGGGAAGAGCCATTCTATTTGTAGCTTGAAAACATTGATACCAGCACTGACTGAACAACATCTTAGTCTTCTGCAATTGGAAACATTGGATGAAATTGGCTTTGGGGAAATGGACAAGGTGGAAGGGAATTCATTCCCAGTGGGTCCTTGTACTTGGTACCCCCACAATGCAATTCATATTGCAGGTGGCACATGGGACAGTCCCCCTTCCTGTCCTCACAGCCCCTTTAGGGAAAGGTGGGGAGACAGTAGGGAGAAATAAAGAACTTAGGGTTTTACCTTAGATTTTTGCCCTAGGGACCCAGTCTATGAAAGATTATTATGACAATTAAGTAAAAAATATATGCATGATAGTAAACTGAAAAGGAGAAGAAACAGGAATGCTATGCTTAAGTTTGAGAAAGAAAGTTACAGTTCAGTCTAGAAGTTTGAGAATTATTTGCATCAAGAGGCAATAGTAACAGCTAATACTTAATGGCTGCTGTTTACCATGCTCTACACAACATTGAAAGCACTTCCCAAATATTAAACCCATCAACTTTCATTATGGGGCTAGTATAGCTATTATCCCCAGTGTACAGATGAGAAAACTGAGGGTCATTAAGAAACTGCCCAAGGTGAATAGAGCTGGATATGAACTCAGGTAGTGTGGTTTTAGAATTTGGGCTACTACCTCTGTCTGAGAAGAAGGCAAAGGCATTTCTGACTAAGGGAAAGATTGTGAAAAGATACCAGAGGAACAGTGAGAGGTTCAGTGTGGATGGAACCCAGCGTGCTTTGGACAGGGAATGTGAGCAAGCAGGCGGAGATGTGGCTCCAGGTGAAAGCAGGGGGCTCTGCCAAGATCATGGAATATCCTGAGACCACCCCATGTCCTGGCAATTACACTCACGTTCACTTTAAATCTGTGGAACTGTTTCTTCTCTGGTTACTGTAGCTACTGTTAGGTCTTTCATATGAGATTTGTTGATCTGCAGAACTTCTATATCATAGCAGAAAAGCTATAATGTACAATATGATATATCATGACGCGTCATTAATTTTATGATGATATAGCTATATGACAATGATATTTCTAAGGAAACACATGAACCTCTAATATTTTATGATAATTTACACTTAACAGAGAAACTAGATATTTCCTAAATGTCTACTCCCTACACACACACACAGAAATACACACATACACACATTTTCACATACAGTATTCTTCTACATGTAGCAAAAGAGCATATTTATTAAATGCATAAATTATGCTGTTAACATTGCACTGTTCCACCAACAAGAATGGCCATATATACATTTTTTTTTTTTTACCTTAGGTTGTTTAGAAAGCATCCACTTATTCAGGCAGTATGCCAGCTGCTGAAAAAGAGAATAAGGAAAATAACTCAAAGATAAGAATAAATTCCTCAGTCAATAGAATTCCATAATAACATATTTAAAATTCTAAAATTGTTCCATTTGTGAACCTTGAATTATCTCTTTACACAATGTCAGTGGCTTTCAGCACAGCTCTGAGGATGCCTTAAATGAGGCCATGAACATGGCAACAGCGAATATCTACTGCAGCCAAAACTCTGATCTTAAAATAGTTTTAAGTGAGCATCATCCACATGATATTTTCAAGGCCTAGGCTAAATAAAAATCTCACAGGACTGAGCAATAACTTACCTCAAGCTGCACAATGTCTGAGCCATCTGGAGGATGGACTAAAGGTTGAGGGAATCCTACAGCGAGAAAGTAGAAAAGCATCAATTAGAGAAAAGAGGTCATAACACTCTCTTCCTATCTTTACTGGGAAAAGCATAGAGATTCTAGTAGAACTATGAACCATCCACGAGCCATATGAAGAGGCCAATGAGACAGTAAGATAGATGCAATGCTGTTAAGAGAATTTGCAAAGAAAGCACACATCTACCTACTGCGACCTGACTGAAATTTATACTAAAATTAATTATAAAAAATGTTTTTAAAAAAACAGTTGGGGATGCAGCTCAGGGCAAAGGCCCTGGTTCAATTCCCAGAACTACCAAAAAAATATGTTTTTAATTTACCAGGAGTTTCCAGCACAGATGTTTGCAAATCAGGAAAGAAGAGAATATTATCTAGGTAACAAATGTGATATCATACTGGTGTCAAAAAATTTGTGCACCAGAATCACCCTTGGCACTTTTAAGATATGCAGCCACCTGTCTCTGCCCCTCTAGAGACTCCAGGGGTGAAGTTCAAGGCAAAGGTGTCCCAGCATGCAGCTGGACCTTGCCAACCCTTTTCTGATTTAAATGAGCCCATCCTCTCATTTACATGTGATGCAACACTTGAAGGAGCAACCTATAGTTCAGGGATAAATACAAAACCCTGCATCTGGATTTTTTGCAATCTGAGGCAGGGAAAATATGGCTCAAGGGTAGTTACAGTTTTTAAACATAGACTTGAGCAGAATTATATTTCCTGCATTCTTTCTTTTAATAGTTTGATAGGTTGAGTTAAAGTCACTGACCATAGTTTTCTCTGAAAAGAGCAAAATTAGGAAGTGCATGTTAATTGCCTTGAATTACTTTAAGAACAATCTCAAGTAAGGAATATTAGTCTTATTCTATGCATCCCCAAGAACACGACTAAGGCTTACGGCCAGAAGTTACATGTGATCAGATTTCAACTCAGTGTAAAGAAGTTTCCTCCGATGATTGCAGTCATTCAATAATGCAGAGTAACACAAGCCAGTCCCATCAAGTAACACAAGCCAGTCCCACAAGGATGTACTGAGAGGTTCCGTGAGCATACAAAGGTGAAGACTATAGTGACCTTAACCTCAGAGAACATAAAATCAAATAGGAAAAAGAAAGGTTGCATATGACTATATACACAGTTAAATACAAAGTATTAACAAGTTTCCAAACATGTAAAATAAATAGGATTCTCTAGTAGCCCAGAAGAGACAGCCGCTGGCTATCTTCGGCTGTCAGTGAGTTGGAGGTCACTGAAAGTACCCAGCATCTCAAAGACCTGCGAGAATCCAGAGAACCCTGCACTCTGTGAGTTTAAGTTCGATGATCTCCACAGCTTCTTGCAATTCCCAGGTTTTGTAATGATGTGACAAAACACACATACTGTTTGGAATAATTTCTCTTTGAAAAATTTCTCAAAAATTTCCTAATGGAAAAAAATTCTAATGGGAAAAATTCAAATTTTGAAATACTCGGTTTCCAATCATAGTTTTTCTGCTATGGCACCCTTCCCCGCATCTTAGGGTAAATTACTTCTATTGATGAGGATGGATTTGAACTGCTGACCCTTGCCAAACCTTCGGGTTTCTTCAGACCGCGCTGGTTCTCTGAAATTGCCGAAGGGAAAGTCTAGCGAGGTCAGCACCGCGGACAGTACCCGGACCCTGAAGATTGACCCTCCAGGCCACACTGTGCTCTGCAGCCTGCTTCGGGACGCCCAGTTTTATCAACTCTGTTCCCTTTTCTTGAGAGTCCTGAACCACAAACGGCTGGGACTCACACCAGGGCCGTGCCTCGCCCTTCACAATTTCAGCAAAACAGGGCATTTCTGGTGCAACTGGTGTTTAAAGACAGTCCCACCGGGGAAAGTCTCACTTCGTAAGCGTCTGCAGTACCCAGCTGCGTCCACTCTTCCTTAATGGGTTAGAAACTAATGAGAAGCCAGAAAGCAAGAGGGTAGAAATGGGTAGATGGAGGGATACACCTCAGCCGCCTTACCTGAGGAGGGAATCTGTATCGTGCAGAAGCAGCACATGGCCAAGACGGAAGGAAATTGGGGAAGATGTTTCATCCTCAGAGTCTGGTTTCTCTTTGCTGCTCACAGATGTGTGTTGCGAGGAGTAGGGTTGAGCATTTCCCCAAGTCCCACAGGCAAAGGCAACCCTCAGCTCTGTGTCTGGCCAGCCCAGAGCAGTAGGTGCTTTTATTGGCAGCGTCCTTGAGTCCATGGCGGAGCACCAATCACCTTTGCGCAGGACGCCCCTGGCTTTCTCATAAATGTCATGCTGGGCCCTTATTTGTAGAATAATATCTTCCTGGTGTAAGCATTATAGAAAGTCATCTTTTTCAATCCAGCAATAACAATAAAAGTGGAGAGTCATAATTGTTATTCTATAATGGTGTGAGGAACACTTCTGACTCAGGAAAGACCTTTTCTCTTTTTTAATCAAAAAATGGGGTGTAAATCTATTTTAATCAAAGAATTGGACATAAATCTTGCATGATGATGTCTTGCTTCCTAAGAACCTGGTTCTTTTCCACCGTTAACAAAAGATATATTTTAGCCTGTGGTGCAGTTTGGGAAGAACAAAATTTGGAGTCCTAGATATAACATGACAAGAAACCCAAAATTCAAGTAGAGTTCTGTTATTTTTCTTATGATGGATGGAAATCAGCCTCCTTGAGGCTTTTCCAAATTCAGTTCTATGAACAAATTAAATATTTCAAGTTAAGTCAGCAGTCAAGAATGCATGACAATGTTGTTGCTTAATAATAATAGTTAAAAATAAATAAGCTTCATCTACTGAGCTCCTACATGTTGAGTCTGTTTTAGTCATTTCACGTGGGTTATCCATGCAGTTCTCAAAGAAAACACACACTGGAAGTGCTATTACCTTAATTTTATGAATGGAGAAACTGATGCTAGGGGAGGTTAAAGAATTTATCCAAGCTCTCTTAGCTATCAAGACAAATGGCAGAAATTTGAACCCAAAGAGATCTGAGCTCAGTCAAGTCCCCAAACATGGGATTTTCACTGATAATTTTTTTTTCTGTAAAGAGCTTTCTTAGGGTTAGAAAAGGGGTAGAGTAAAGGATAAAGGAGGAAGCCTTATATTTCTGGCAAAAAGGTAACTAACATGAAGTAAATATCTTTAGGAATTTTTCCATTATGCATACTTTTAATTTTTGTCCTTTAAGAGATTTGGAGGTAACTAGCAAATGTTGAATGCATACAATATGCCTCAAACATGTTAAATATTTTTGCTTATAAAATTTTTACTATATTTTAAATTGACTTACTCTACCTGTCATATTATATAATTTTTAATGAATGAACACTTGAAGAGTAATTTTTGAGTGAAAGCTGCTCAGAAGGAACCATTTATTTGTGTCTTAAAATGTGGTATTTTGCCAAAAAATTTCAATTCATAAAGTGGGAATTATGAGCTACTTTATAGCCATAATATATTTTTCCTTGAGTGAGCAAGAAATAGATATTATTATTATAATAATAATATAATGTTTATTACATTATTTATGACTTTAGTTCAAGGAGAATAGCTTGTGGTTATTAAGCACCAGGCAGAGATTATGCCATTTATATTAAAATATACCCACTGTCTAACAGCAAGTCTTTACAAAATGAAAGGAAAATATGAATGAGTGCTGTTTGAACATAAACCACTTACAAACATTTCAGTTCTACTAAATGTAAATCAACAAGTATATACTTGATGAACATTTTGTTCTATATTCTTTGGTAAATTGGTCCTATATACACAGACATACATTTTTCAAATCAACCTCTAAGATAATTCTGATTTATATAAAAGTTGTGTTTCCCTTGTGTATTTTACCCATATTATTTCTCAGACAGTTGAGACATAAACAAAGCTATTTTAATACAATTCAAAAACAGAAAAAATTAATATCTGTGTTGTTATTATTTGACAACATTGTTATGAAGTGAATTATTGTGTTATCCTACACAATTTGTATGTTGAAGCCCTATACCCCAATGTGACTGTCTTTGGAGACAGGGTTTTTATTGAGATAACTCAGGTTAAATGAAGTTATAACAACAAATTCAAACCCAATAGGACCCAAGGAGAAACACCAGAGAGCTCTGATTAACAATTCCACCTAACATGACTAAAAGTGCAACAATCCCTACCTTAAATCTTAACAATTCCTGCATTGCTCAAAAGCCCAAATCTAGTTTCCTCTGAGACTCAAGGCAAACTCTTACTTTGAACTCCTGTAAAATTCAAAATGCAAATTATCTAATCCAAAATATAATGAAACAACATGAACATTCCTATCCCAAAAGGGAGAAGTATAAGATAAAAAAAGAATCAGACCAAAGTAAGACCCAAACCCAGCAGAGAAAACACGAAGTCTTGTGGCTCCATATCCATCACCTAAGGTATAGAGTGGTGAGATGTGAGTTCTAGAGGGCTTGGGCATCTTCACCCCTATGTCCTTCCTAGCTGAGGCCCATATGACCTCTCTTGAACTGGATCTATTCTGCAGTATTCCTTTGCAGATATTGCATGTTCTTGGCATCACTGATGTCTTGGGGTATCCACTGCACCTGTGGTTTCATTTCCACAGCTTCACACACTGTCCCCTTAGGGGCTCCTTGGCTGGCCTCCCAGCCATCCTTTGAAATCTCAGTGGAAACTTCTGTGATGCTATAACTCTTGCATTCTTATACCTGAGAAAAAAACAGCATCACATGGATGATACCAAGGTCTGCCACTGGCATGAGCAGTAGCCAGGACCCCTTGGTCTGGGGCTGCAGTGGCCTTTGGCAAACATACCTCCTTTGTTCACAACTTTATGTGTGGTTCTCTTCTCCACAAAATTTTTCAAACATTTCTGCTCTTCCATTTGCTCTGAATTGCCATTGTAAAGTGGTTAAAAGTTGCCGTCAATACCAATGTCATGGCACAAGTTCTGGGCTGCCTAGAAATTTCCTCTGCTCTTAAATTCAGCCTCCTGTGAAGTCTCAGGACATGGGTAAATGGAGACAAGTTTTGTTTCTTTGGAGTTTTTTGCTAGAGTGTAACATGCATGATCTCTAGTTATATTCTCAGTAGAGTCCCTGTTTCTACCCCAAACTTCATGAGAGCAGATTTTATTTTACTATTTACTTATTGTACTACTTAAGGCATTTTCTTTTGACATGTTTTCTATTCTTTTATACTAAGCCTGACAATTACATATTATATTAAAGACTACTGTAGTGTTGTACTTATTTTGTGTAAAGAAAGGGACATTGATGAAAATCAAACACAGAGAGGACATGGTTTTTTGAAAATTCATGATCAGACTTGGAGACTCTGGAAATCAGAGTTCTTTATGAATAAATTGCTACAGTGGGATGCTGAGGTTCTGGCACCATAAGATTTTGGTTTCTTTTCTTAAAATCTATATAGTAAATAAGAGACTATACTTAATATTGTTAGCAGAGAAAAACACAAAGGGATAAATATATATAGGCAATTAGGAATTCTTCAATATAGAGGAAAGGGAGAAAAAACAGACAGGTGGAAAGAAACAAGGGAAGGGAGAAACAAAGAAAAAATATAACTACAATCACACAAAAATATTAAATAAACCATGAGCTATCAATAAAATGTTAATGTATGTAACTATTAAAAAGAATAAGCTGGGTTGATACGTTTTTAATTTTAAGGAGAATAAAAAATAAAAATGATATAGAATTTCAAGACAAGATGATAGAAAATTAACTGTAAAATTAATCAAACAATTAAGCATTAACTGTTCCTTTCAATAAACCAATAGAAATTAGTAGTACAATTATCTTAGCTAACTTGTATATACATATATATTTTTCCCTTCCTTCTTTCTTTCTTTTCTACTTTTCTCCATCCCAGTTGTTCTTTCCTTTTGAGCAGTTTCTTT